GAGGCACCGGTGCGTAGTGGAATCCTAAGCCAGGATAGTAACGTGAAGAGAGGCAGAGGAAGACCGAATTTGACTTGGGTAGAGGCAATAAAAGGAGACTTGAAAGGATGGAATATACCCAAAGACTTAGCCTTAGATAGGAGTGCTTGGAAGACAGCTATTCACGTGACTGAACCTTGATTGCTTCTGATGGGTTTCAACTCTAGCCTACCCCAACTTGTTTGGGACTTAAAGGCTTTGTTGTTGTTGTTGTTGTTAGTTTCCCAGTTCCACAACCAAGTCCTAAGAGGACTTTCAACATATTGTAAAGCAACTGGGATGCAACACAATTAAAAATATTGGCCGTAGTACTACCTCCATAAATTATCCTGGTCGATTCAGCAACTGCTGGGCTAACATTGGAGTGGAGCCACTTTCTCAGACCATCATGAACCTACAATACCATGCACATCTCAAATGTTTCACAAAGCAGAATTAAGAACATTGATATCAATATGTCAATCAAGAATACTGTGAGACACAATGGAAGCCACTATATACCATGTGAATAAAAAAAATCATGCAGTTATTGCTCCTATTTAAGAAGTTATACCTCCTGAGCCTGAGCAGGGGTTGCAACCTTGCCGGTCCCAATAGCCCAAACTGGTTCATATGCCAACACAACATTTGTCCAATCTGATATTTTTTCTGGAAAACAAAAGGAGAGGCAGTAAACAGTGAATTGGAGAAATTCATAGGTCCTTCATTTTTGCATGAAGGCATAAAATTCAAAGCAGCAGCCAGAATGAACAGATGAAGCTAAAAAGGATTGAAATGTTGAAAATTTGTGTTTACTTAGGTATAAAAAATAATGAAGTATTTTAATATCTGTGTCATATATCGCAGTTCCTTTTCAAAATGACAATAGCTTTAGATTTATTTCTGTGTAAAAAAAAACTGCCACCATGATTTTTACCATTTAATGTTAAAAAAAATGAAGCATTTTCATCCTGAAACCTATATGTATATTGAATGAGCAAATTCCTGTTCCATATAATCTGCTTAAATAATATAACAGCAAGTAAAAGTTACCAGCAATAGCCTTTGTTTGTGCAGCAACAACATCCATTGTTGTTCCTGCCTCTCTCTGCTCAAGGGTCTCACCAATGCAAGCAATTACCTTGAGACCTTGGGTAAGCGCATATGCAACTTTATCAGCAACAAACTGTCATGAATAGAAATAAATAAGTAATTCACTTCTCTATATTTCAGATGCCTGAATTTTAAAATGATTTCAAGCAACACTGTTGTACAACCAACCAGTACAAGTAAATTGTTACTTTTGTGATTTGTTATTTGTCTTTGCATCATAACATATCAAATTTTTGTCCTTGTCTTTCTACCAACACTTGTAGTTTTGTCTAAAGGGTTTTTTATTCTTGGAACTGAAAATTGCAGATTATGCCTACATAAATTGCAATGAACTAAAGCTGCAATTTTAGTATAAAATACATGCAATAAGCGTCGCCTGAAAGGAAGCTAGAATTCAGGCACCTGAAGTTTAGAAAGTCCCCCCAGCTAGTATGCTAGTTTAGGGACAATCTACATAGGGTTAGTGCAGAATCTGAATATACTCAAACATTATTTCACAGCACTGCACAAATGTGAAAAGATCAAAATCTGATCATATAGCCTACTCAGGTCAAAGTATAATAAATCCAATCTTAAACCATCTTAGCCTAACAACAGCCATTGTGTCACCAAGGGAACATCTGGTTCCAGTGAGCAGTGGCCACAAGTTTTTGAACCTAAATGCTGATATGATAGTAAATTGATCTCAACTGTTAAGTAGAGAATCAAATGTGGCATGAAAAGCTCAAATCATTTCAAATAATTCCATTAATTTTCACGACAGAAGGGCGGGCCTGGTGCAAGCGGTAGAGTCTTACCGCCTGTGACCGGAAGGTCCCGGGTTCGAGTCGCGGTCTCCTCGCATTGCACAGGCGAGGGTAAGGCTTGCCACTAACACCCTTCCCCAGACCCCGCACAGAGTGGGAGCTCTCTGCACTGGGTAAGCCCATTAATTTTCACGAAAGCTTCTTCTAAGCATATAGCAGAATAACACATGAATATATACAATTGATAAACCAGACAACAGATTCTTCCAAGCATCAAGCAAAATAACACAGGAATGTGAGTTGTCAATAGAGGAGATAAATCAGACCAGGTCATCAGCTAAAATAAATCAACAGCAACTTAGACTTAAAAAGGTACTCACATCACTGGATTCACCCAACAGAGCTCTGCGCTCAGAATGCCCCAAAATGACCCAGGGCACCTGCAGGTTCACCAGCATCTCAGCACTGAAACAAGAAAACTGACACATATTAGCCAATTTGAAGAAATTACTCCAGTTACTATTCAATTTTTTTTTGATAGGCAATTACTATTCAATTGGTGAGTTGGATCAATGAAATGGATCACTCTGGACATTACAGGATCCGATCCATGACCAAATACAGAGATTCAGTGCAATTACTCAACTCAACTAGGAAAGCATTGAAGATTGACAATAATCCAGACGTTTCATAAAGCATGCTAATCTTGCCCAGTGAACAAATCTACAACCTTTGCCATACACCCTATTTGCTTGATCGTTTCTGTGGCTTATAAGTCGGCCGATGCTGTTTTGTTGTGAGAAAAAAATACTGTATCATGGCTATACGATAAAGCGAACAGGGTGATAATCAAGCCACATTTCCACGAACAAAAAACCAGAGGAGTTAAAGGGGCATGAAATTCGTACCACTATACTCCTCCGAGAGACCGAGACTAAATTAGATGCTCTTCAACCAATCTGACCGACCGGGCAAGCACTCATTCGACTGCTTCTACCACAACGCTGAACCATGACAGATCAAAACAAGAGGGAGAAGAAAACCTGATCTCGCCGGTGAAGGCGCCGCCCTTGCGCACCCAGCAGTTCTGCGCTGCGACGGCGAAGTCCAGCCGCAGCAGCCCCTTGACCTGCTGCAGAAAAACGAACGGCGGGCTCACCACCACCTCTGCGCACCACCCCCGAGTTCAAACCAACCAGGAGATCAGCACATAGATCGATCCAGTCAAAAACCAAACCACAGCCGAAACGGCCCCGCAATTGCAGACTCACCGACGACGTCCTCAGAGGGCACCTCGGCTTCGTTGAGCACGGTGACGATCTTCTTCACGTCCTCGCCGGTGCCGTTCTGCCCACGGGGGGAGCGGATGCCATCAGAGATCAAACCAAAACTCCGGCGTAACGTCGAATTCAAATCGAGAGAACGATGGTGCCTGGGCCCTGGGGCCTGGGGCCTGGGGGGAACTTACGCATTTCCAGTTGCCGCCCACGAAGAACTTCCTGGAAGCCATTGGTCGTCCTGCGCGTGCGCGAGAGGCGTGGCAGCCGCGATGGAGACACTGGAGTTTGGTTGGTGCCCTGGTGGTTGGTGCGTTCGTGAGTGACGAGGCGGATCGAATCGAGATGGACGGTTATATCGAGGGAGCCGAACAGGTGGCGGCGGCTGGGCTTCTTGCGGCGGAAGAAAGAAACTTTGGATATGCTGCGGGCGCATGGCAGGGCGGAAGCAGCGGAGCCAACAGGTTTGGAGCACACGCCGCCGGGTTTCGGCTCGAACCGCGGGCCCAGTGACCAAGCAGCAGCAGGCAAGCGGCGGCACATCCGAATCCGAGCCGCGGCCCCAGTGACCAAGCGGCGCCCCTGATTTCCCCTTTTTCCTATGAAAATAAACGGATTTTATAAAAATAAAATTACTTAAAGATTCATATGAAATTACTATTGTTCCAAAGCAGCCAATTCATGTGAAATTACTGTGTTCCAAAGCAGTTCACTTGTTAATTTTAGCCAGGGCTTATTAGCCAGTCAATAGTATTTTTCTCTCACAACAAACCAGCACCAGCCAGACTTATCAGTCCAGAAACCGACCAGCGAACAGGTTGTTTGAATGCAGGATTGGTTTAGCGCATTCAAACAAAATCAGAGAACTATAGCGAACAGTTGGCAGCAGAGAACTAATGGCATGCCCCTTTCAACAATAAGCACAAAAGATTCAGCCAACCATGAAACCAAGCCTGTCATAACAAGTTTCTTGACAAACCCTTGCAAGAATTTAGCCCACAAATCAGGCTTTATTGTTACAAAATGAGCAGACCCTTGCTGTTTCGCAACATGTGGGGCGCACAGAATAAAAGAAACTGAGAAAACAATTTGACATTCCACTGTGAAGCTCTTATTCAGCTATATATGTTTCTAAAGCTATGTTTTCTTCTTTGTACACAGCTGTGGGCTTCTACAATCTGAACTCCTAGCTGTAAGTTCACAAAATGCAGCAAACAATGTATGCCATGTTCGCTTGGCTGATAAGCCATGACTGAAAGTATTGTTGGCTGATTTGTTGTGAGAGAAAAATACTGTTTGTTGGCTGAAAAAGTACGGCTTATAAGACAGGCAAACATGGTGGTAATCTTCTATGGAATGTGCTTTCAATTTAGACAGTATTTTGTACACCCTGATTACATGAGATGACAGGGTAACTGTTGGCCTGTGCTCCGTACGTCATTTCCATTGCGGGAGGCTCTTATCTCCACTGAAGGTGTTTGATTTCGATTTTGGCTTGCATGAAGCTGGTTAGTTCGGAGGGGATTCCATAAGTCCTGTCTGGCTTCGTAAGATTAAGATCAGTTCCTGAAAGGTGAGGAAGAATAAATTATATTATGGAAAAAAAGGTACACAAAAGCAGAACTAATTGCTCAGTGAGTTTGATTGGGAAACTTAAATTCTCCATGCTGGTACAAAACACATCAAGCCATATACTGTTCTACACAAATATGCACCTCAAAACACATCAAGCCATATACTGTTCTACACAAATATGCACCTAAAGTGAGGAATGCACAGTTGATGATGTTCAAGATACCATACCTGCACATTATGGAATTAGATTCATTCAAATCAGCTGTATGTGCTACGTCCTGTTAGAATTTGCGCCTTGGGAATTATGGCAAGGAGAGTTCATCATCTCAGAACCAGAAGTATCCAGTCCATCTGCTGAAAAATCTAGCTGTTTCTCAACTGATTTGATGGTAGCCATTCTTTTTGAACTTTTCTGATAGGGTGGTGAAGAATCAAAGCTCCTTACAGAAGTCAACAACACATCAACAGAACCCAGCGACAAAAAGGATGCAGCAGTTTTAAACGACCGTGGAGAAGTAGTGTCCTTCCCATTAGTTCCATTAGGAGTGTAAAAGCTATCATTGCTTACTCCACCCGTCTTGATCTCATTACCTGAAGCAGGTGTTGCTTTATCACGTTTTCTTTTCCTTAGTATTGAAGGAGTACCTGGAAAGCTGTCAGCAGCAATCCTCAAAATTGAATCAACAGTTAGCTGACTTGATACTTTTCCAATCGTTGGAGAGGGAGAAGTATAACCATTGGGTGACATGAAATGTTGTGTTGTTTGATGTGAACCATTACGTTCAGAACGGAGCGGGGTATGGATTGGGGCCACATCTTCCATGTTTGGAATCTGATAACAAAGAGGACCAAGGGTAGAATGCAACTCGTTCTTTGAAGATAATTCTGCCCCTCTTTTGGCTGGTGCAGATTCTAATTCAACCCCAACAGGATCAGGTGTTGAGCTAACCTCAACACCCTTCTCATGAACAGAGTCAATTTCTAGGCCCTTATCACGGACAGAGTCACTTTCCAGACCTTGTACCGCCAAAGTAATAGCAGAACCATCAACTAGTGATGACATTTCATATGAAGTTAGAGGCTGCGTAGTTGGTATAGAAAGGGAAAGGAAGCCTGAGGAGTCCAAATTGTATGCCTGTGAAGGTGAGCTCAAAATGGAACGATAAGCTCTTCCAGGGACATCTTTTGAACCAATGCTTGGCATTTGGTTCAGATCAAGATGGCTACCAGTACCCACGGGCTTCATTTTATCCTTGAAATCATCATGAACAAACAGCTTCGGAGCTGAAAGAACACTGCTGTTACTATAAGCCTCTAACTTCTTTCTCAAAGAACTGTTCCAATGATTCTTTATGGAATTATCGGTCCTGGAAACAAAATATATTATGAGCATGGTACCAGAATCCAGAGATGGACTCTAATAAAGTGCAAAGGGAAAAGTGACGATCAGTATAAGTACACCTTCTCCAAAATAGCAATGCAATTTCATACTTACAAGGGACCTTCAGGGAGATTTTTCAGTGTGGTAACCAAAACTACGAAAATTGAATAATGGATATCACAGTGATGGATTCACAACAAGGAAGCGAAGCCTATATAACTACAAGCGAATATAATGGCATTCACACGACACGACTCCCTGGAGCATCCTGAGTTAGTCTTTGGAGAATTCTATTTGTTATTGAAATCTAGCATCGATGGTATTTATATTATGATGATTTTGTAACTGCATTTCCTTATGATCTGAACAAACAGGGAACTAACATCCAATCCTTGTGAAGCATAACTAGAAAGCATGCCATAGAACATTGGGCATAGATAAGAGAGACATCCCTTACAGCATACACAGTGGAACTCCACTAGAATGATCTCGTGGTTTTACAACTTCATACAACTAAAGTACAGTTCATGCTCCATAATAATGTATCACCATTGTCTTATTTTTGCATTAAAAAACTGATGACTCATGATTATGTTCCCGCATTTTAACGAGTCATCAGATAATCCCAGAAAAAAATCAAGAACGACGTCCAAAAGTAATCCACCTTTTTCACGAGGTTTACTGACATAAGTGATTTTGTATAAACTGAACCAATGAAGTAAGCAGTGCATAAGTACCTTCCAGGAAGAGCTTTTGCTATTTCTGCCCATTTATTCCCAAACACTTTATGAGCATTAATAAGTGCCCTTTCCTCCTCAGGAGTCCAAGCATCTTTCCTTATTTCTGGATTCAGATGATTATGCCACCTGCAATTTTTTGAGTTTAGAACGGGGTCAATAGGTATACATTATGTATAGTATCGCATCAATCTTAGGTACAATACAATGTATGAAACAGCCAATAAAACTTTTAGACAAAGTGGGACCAGAACAGCCTGGCATAAATTTGTAATCCAAAGATCACAGTTAAAGGGAGGATGCTGACATTCCAGAGAGCTAAAAGAGAAAGGGAGAGCAGTTTTAACAGAAAGAAAGGAAGACCACAAAAACCATTGCTAAAGGGAGAGCAGTTTTCACACAGGAGCACAAGCTTCAACCATCATAAATATATGAAATATCAATTGCGCACATGTTTTGATAAGTATGATACACACAACTTCGCAAATGATCAGATATTCACCTCTCTCGGCATTGCTTGCCTATGCGGCCAGGCAATGATTTTGCGATGATAGACCATTTTGTTGGTCCATACTTGCCCACAAGGTCAATAATTTTTTCATCTTCCTGTAGAAAATAATGTAGATATAACATCTTCCTCCAAAAAGTTTATATAGATGCACAAGTAATTTTCAGCGGAAGTGAAGTAAACACTGCAGTCGCAAACCTCTTGAGTCCAAGGGCCTTTGATAAGCTCCGGATTAAGAACCTTCTGCCAACGATGCAAACATTGAACCTCAGTCCTGTCCTGAAAGAATTCAGCTGCATGAATAGATACAGATCCTTTTGTTAGTTCACCATGCACCTAAAATTGAAGGAAAAACTTCTCAAAATAATTTGAAAATTCTTTATATATAGGAAAATAAGAATTTCGCATACCCCTACTGCAGCTACCACACATGCAAAATAGAGCTAATTGATATAGTTCAATATTAAACAGCTAGATCTACTATCAGAGCACCAATAACTAACTGCTCTTAAATTTCACTACCCCTTTTTTCCTCAGTTCGACCTTAAAGAAACACAGAAAGCAGGCAACTAGGCCCATGTTAACAGAACCAACAATGCTAAATACAGCTCCTTAGTGCAGTAACTGTGGAGCGTCGACAGTGACAGGAGAGAAGTTTTTGTAGTATATATACAGGACCATATTCATGTCACAAATTCTCAGGCCTTGTGGTAACTGTTCACATTCAAAGTAAATTTCATGTAACCGAATGCTAGCATTTCCTGATTCATGTTCATTTCTAGATTCTAGGTTTACAATATAAATACATGTAAACAGCTGACAAGTAGAAAGATACAATAGCATATCCTGCAGTGTTCAATGCAACACTTTGTTAATAAAAAAATAGACAGTCAAGTAGAGAAAACAAGGGGAAACCATGCTTGACTTCAAAGATACAGTGGTACACAGTAACACCCCCCAGTGAAAAATAATAATAATGCCATATCAGACAGATAGTTGGCTCGCTATTTAATGCAATGCAAAAGACAAGTAAAAAGGAAACCTTATTTCTACAAGGGCAACTGAGTACATAAATTATACAATGGAAAGAGGAGGCAACCTATTTTTTTCCAATTTCTACCCTTGAAAGCTTCAACTGCCTTCCGCAGTGTTTCATCCTGTTGGCATATTTTGAAGCCAATTAGTAACATTTCATAGATATGCTAAAAGGGGAAAAAACACACACTTCTAGCACATGTGCATATCATCAACTCTTGGTCTTTAGAACAGAGAATGTGAGATACTGACCTCTTCCGGCGTCCAGCCACCCTTAGCTCTTCTTATCGGTCCACTTGTTCGCCTATCATAATAATGAAAAAACTCATTAGCAAAAAGAAAGAAAGAAAGAAAGAAAGAAAGAAAGAAAGAAGAAAAGGAGTATATCTATTAACTGGGTGGGGTGTGCGCGTAAAACATAACATAATAGGTGCCAGAAGTTACTGATACAGCACAGATATAAGGGCGTACCCAGTGCAGAGAGCTCCCGCTCTGGCGGGGTCTGGGGAAGGGTGTTAGTGGCAAGCCTTACCCTCACCTGTGCAATGCGAGGAGACCGCGACTCGAACCCGGGACCTTCCGGTCACAGGCGGTAAGACTCTACCGCTTGCACCAGGCCCGCCCTTCTGATACAGCACAGATATACATAGCCCAAATAGGAGGGTAGTTTTCAAATAGGCCTTTATATCAGGTACAATTAGAAACACTCACTATTCTTATTAGATCAAGGCATCAAGCCTGCAGATCATCCCTCTAGCTTACATCTTCATAGATAGGCATTTAATTTGCACAGAAGATGCACTTATAAATACAAAAAAAAATCACACCTACATTGCAACCTTAACAACAACAACAACATAGCCTTTCAGTCCCAAGCAAGTTGGGGTACATTGCAACCTTAAGATGCCTTAATTGAGGATCCACCTTTCCAGACACCAAAGTGAGCAAATCCCAACATAATAAGTGCATGCTGCAATTACTGAAAGGTACTTGCAAACATCTCATTCAGGTGAAGATTGGGAACAAGGCACGGCCAAACAATCATAACAATACAAGTAATCCCTCGCAAATTTATAAAGTACTAACACACAACTATTAATTTTACACCAACGAAATGACTCTTGTGTACTCAATCACATGTCACTTCCTGCCACAGTTGGTGACCAGAAAAATGTTGACATTTTGTGGCACCATTCATCATTAAGGGTATGTTTTTGTGGGGTAGTCCCCGCCATGCCTAATTCTTTAGGATGGGCTAGAGCAACAACTGCCTAATGAAACTAGGACCAAGGTTCTACATAGCAGATAACGGGCCATAGTGGACTAGCTTCAGTAACAGCACAAGAAGCTGTATTCCTACACTGAAATAGTATTCATAATCTGAGTTACATGTGTGTATTTATAGCCTTCCTATAGAATTCAGATGTAATAAGCAATTAAGCAAAGCATAGAATTAAAGAAGAATAATTCTATATTTAGAGAAATATTTGCAACACTGCACTAATCACAAACTCAGCTGGCAGAAATGCTATATCATCCACAACCATCACTACAGATGACTCCATCTTTACACGCTATGCTGCTCGTACCTCGCTAACACTCCACCACCAGTCCACCATCACTACCAATTTAAAATGCACTCTATGGAACCATATGAACTCAGCAACCATAGCAACTAAATTCAGAAGGCAAACAAACTGCAACAGCTAAAACCTCATGAACCCGATTGATCCAACAAAGACATGAATCCTACTATTAAAAACCACCACAAAGCACCTGTTCCAAGCTCCAGTAAGACAGCATTCCTAGCAGCGAAAATTTCTCGAAGGTACCAGGGAAACTCTAATCACATCACAAACCAGGCAAATTACCAACGAGAGAACCACACAACCACCGTGCAATGCATAAAAGGTTCATTCTTCTCACCCAGAACACCCACCACTCTAGGGCACAACAGTGGCGGGCCCAGCGGGTAGTCCAGGTAGGCCCAGGACTACCCACAAATTTGGCCCAAAATTCTATTACTACTCTTCAGAAACCAAGAAAAATTGGCCCAAACGCTCTCCTTCCAGCTTCCCCCGGTCACTCTCGTCTTAGCCCAAGCGGAAGACACCGCGAGTCCGCGTTCCTCGGCCCCCGACCCCGACGCGACGTGGGTACGAGCGACCGCCCTAGCCGCGCGCCGCCCCTCCCGGCAGCCCGCCACCGGCGCGAACGCCTGCCCCACCTCGCCAGCCGGCCCACCCCTGCTCGCCCCACACCCGCGGCCCCACCGGCTCCGCCAGTCCACCGGCGGCCGGCGGCGGACGCGTCTAGCCGCCGCCCGCTAGCGCCCCACGGCGGCCGCTGCCATCCACTGCACCACCCTGGCCGGCTGGGCGCCTGGCCCCAGCCAACGGGCCCCTGCCCTACCCTCGGTGGCTGACTGAGTAACTAGTCACTGGTAGGTGCTTCTGTAGTTCTGTTCCCAATTCCCATATCCACTTAGGTCCTGTTTGGTAGTATTTTTCAGGTGTAAACCATTTTCACATATAATTTGTTGTGCACAAGGATACTACTGTATTTTTTTACACTTGAAAAATGTTGTTTGGGCAAAAGCTTCTGCCTGCATGATTGCATATGATGCGTGGTGCTTATATCTGTATTGTGCTGATCCTTCAATTATGAATGACACATCTGCAATTGTAGTTTCTTTTTTTTGTAAGACCTTATCTTATGTATGATCTATTTGAGTAAGTTTCGGACCTATTTATGTAAGTTTCGAACCTTTTAAATGTATTATCGTAATTTGGTTAATTTATAGCTATGTTTGCTGAACTTTTTGTTTGGATTTTATAGTATTACACATGAAATTTTTTTACTAGGACTACCCTGGTCTCAGATCCTGGGTCCGCGGCACAACACGAGTAAGGATCCAAACAAGGTAAAATAAACGGTACTATTCAACGGTTAAGAGCCCAGATCCCTCCCCGGATAGGAGTAGCTACGGGCAAAGGCCTCACCTCAGAACGGAGATGGAATTCCCAGAGCTTGACACCGGCGGCGACGTCCCCGCCCGCCCTCCACCGCCACAGCTGCTGCCATCCGACACGGACGAGCTCGAAGCCGCCAGGGGCTGCCGATTCTCCACGCACCCCTCCTGCACCACCTCCGCCATCGCCCCCATCACCTCCTCATCACCGCCCCGGCCTAAAGCCGTAAAATCACCAAAAAAAAACGAACTTCAGATCAAATCACCCACGGCAATCACTCCCCAAAACAGATCGAACGAAACGCCGCCTTACGAATCTAGCGGATCCCAGATCGAACAGCCGGGGTATAGAATTGGGGCTCCGGGCGGCGAATTGATAGGCGGCGGGGAGGCGGGACCGCGGGAGATGGCGCGAAGGGAGGGAGGCTAGTCCCCAAACCCTAGGAAGGTATAAAAGAGTAAGCTTTCGCTGCCCCTCTCTACGGCTTCGGTTGGGTGTCGGGGGAGTTGAAGGGGGAGACGCGAGAGGATGCTTTCAAAAAACCTCGCCCGTTGAAGGTCAGGGGAAGAGCCGAAGAGCAGGAGGAACAGAAGAATAAATTATGGCCGCCGCCTTGTTTTACTAATCGGACCCTGAAGTATAACGTTATTCCTAATCCTATACTTCGGCAAAAGAAACGGGCAAATAGGCATGTCTAGGACCGTTTTCCTTAAAAAAAACATAGCACCTCATTGGCACCGGGGCTAATCGTGAGCTAGTTAAAATTAGCCTAAATTAACTCTAGTACATCTAATAATAGTCAAGATTTAACAGTATTGTGCATTCAGTGGTAGACGATGTTTTCATCGACATCGAAACGCCTGTGATGACTACATTCATCTCGAGAATTTGCCGATCCAGTAGAGGTAGGGTTTGTGTACGGACGTTCTTAGGGGTGAGTGTGCGTACGTTATGAGCATTTACGTTGTACTATATAATTCAAAAACGAATTAATAAATAAATTAATAATTTTTTAAACAAGTCTTTAATTAGTTATTAGCCAACTAACTATCCATATCCAAACATGCCCTTAAAACGTCATAACTGTGGTTACGAAAAACATCAGAGTCGCTTTCATCTTTGTTCAAGAGAATCTAAACGTGCGAACATCATATAACTGCATGTCCAAAGGTTTGTAATATGCCACATTATCGAAGAGGCGAAGGAGGTCCTTAAGTGTTTCCAGGAATTCAGAGTTTCCAAATGCCACGGGAGCACAAACGAGCTGCTCATATGTTGTGTCAGTTTGGTAGAAGAGAGCTTTCTAATGTTTTTATTGCTAATGGCATCCCGACCTGCGTGTCGGCGGCTTTAGCTCCCGTTTGTAATCACGATGTTTTAATATAATTAAGCTATCCCCTTTCAAAAAAAGGTTGAGACATGCACTGTCATTTTTGTGATTTTCTAAAGTTAAGGGGTGTAATACAGAAACAGGGGCAATGCGACTTGGAGACGGAGGGAAACGTACGACGGACGCGGGACGCCACGGCCTTGTGACGGAGGGCCTGACGGCGGCGTCGGTTGCCGTGCCAACCTGGATCATGAATGGCCGCGGTTGTTGTGTTTGGTAACGCCGCGCGGTTACCGTTGCGGGCCAGGAGTTTGAACCCCTAACGGCTCGCCGTCTTGTGCGCTGGTGCGGCGGACCGAACTTGGACCCGCCCGCCGCATCCAGCAGTCCTGATTCTTTTTCTGCACCGTTTGATCTCAGATTTTTTTACAAGGACAGCAAAAGCTTTGTCGTGATTTATATTAGACGAAGAAAAAAACGGCAAGTGTCTGCTCAGTTTTTTTTAATGAAAACTGGACTCAAAAACCATATAACTGAGGAGAGTATATCACTCATCCTACACCACTTTGATATAGTAGACCAGGCAACTTTCACAACTCACGTCACTACTTGCTCCAACTTAGTCGAAAACGACCCAACTAAAATAACTCAACTAAGAGAAACAAGGATAGAAGAAAAAACACGATGACCAGCCGGGCAACACCAAACAACCTAGACGGAAAGAGAACTGCGGAATTGGAAAGCCTAGCCTTACCTCCAAGGAGGAAGCGACGCTAAAACACTGACAAGGTAGCCTGTCATGGGAAGGTTTTCACCTGCAACATCCAGTACGGTAGGAGAGGTAGGAAATGACGCCTCCAAGAAGGGAACGGCGTCCGCAGACGTCGTCGTCCAAGCTTTCGCCCCCAACTCAAGCAACCTCCAACACCGTCGCCGTCGGAGACCGAACCCTACCGGGAAGGTAGAGTGCGTTAATGGGTCAACAGTAGCCCCTCCCTACCACCGCCCCTAAAGGCGTCGGCCGGGAGAAGCGTTAGGAGAAACCCACCGAAGTGTCTGCCCCCCGCCGGAACCGGCAAAGCCGGCCAGCGGAAGAAGAACCGACAAGCTCTACCGCGGAAACCACAACCCGAGGAAGGGGGAAGGCAAATGGCAGGGAGAAAAGGGTCGGGATAAGAAGAAACCCCAGTCGCCCAGCCCACCAACGACCCAACCCTTGTTGAGCTTGCCCTGCATCAACCACGCCACGGACAGCCTCCAGCAACCTCCGCTGGCCCCAAGCCATCCACTCTATCAGGTCGCACAGCCGCCGTTGTTGTCACCGAACTGGGAGAGCCTGGTGTGGCCCGCTCGACCGACGCCCGCCTCACCGCCATGGCGCGACAGACGCGAAAAAACACGCAGGTCACCACCGTCCACGCCACCAGGGCGTCGACGCCGCGCGGCCAACGCAGCCGCCTACATCCCCACGACATCTGACGGCGCCTGGCCGCACCACCACGCCACCAATCCACACCGACGTAGCCAAACCCACTGCAAGCCATCACCGATGCCTGTGCCAGCCGAACTTTGGCGCCGCACTCCGCTGCCTCTGCAGGAGCGCCAGCCTCCGAACTGCAGCCATCCAAGCCCGCTTCCAGCCTTTCGTGGAACTCTTTCGTGGAACTGCGCACGCAGCCCCAACCACTACGCCCACCGAGACGCCCTGAGAGGGCCGACCACCAGGGGCCCCACCAGATCCAGCCGCAGGGCCGACGAATCTGGTGAAGGAGACTCTAGAGCGGTGGTGGAACGCTGGAGCAAGTCGCTGCCGGCCAACGCGCCTAGAACGCCACCCGCTGGGAAGAGGACCACCACGAGCATAGCCCCGGTGAAGCAGCAGGCACCGCGCTGACCAGCACCGCAAAGGGATATGTGAGCAACTGGCCACCAAACAGTGTTGCCGGCCCGGATCTGGACTCCAGGCAGCCCAACTCCAGATCTGACTCCATTCGTGTGACGCTGCGGCTTTGAGGAGAAGAAGCCCCACCGCCACCTTCCTTGTAGCGTGCCGGACCTCTGGCCAGCTGCTCCGGCAGCGGCGAGGCAGGGGAGGAGTGGTTGGGAGGGCGGCGGCAAGATTTGGCAGCCGCCCGTGTCGCCGCTTTCGGACGACGCGGAGGCCTGGGCAGCGTTATTTGCTAAGCGCCCGAGTTTGGATCAGTATTGCACATTTACACCTGTGATCTTTTTTTATTTTTTATGCTTTTCTTGATTATTTTATACCCCGTTTAGCACGGCTCTACTTCACTAATGAAGCCGTTTTTAGGTCTTTAGCTCCATGAACAGCTCTGAAGCCGATTTAGTAAATCGTTTGCCAAACCCGCTCTACATACAGAGTTTCTTAAAATATGCTCTCACAGAACGCCACGAGGTGAAGCCGGATGAAGCCACTATTTTTTGCTTCATCCCACCTTAACCTCTGTAAGAGCACGATTTAAAGGGCTTCCTGGATCAAGCCATTTCATTTTACCCCGTTTGGCATAAAACAGCTCCAAACAATTCTTGAAACGGATAGAGAAGCCCTGCCAAATGAGACCTTAAAGATAACCTCATCCGCTTTTTATTTTTTAACCACTAGGTAGCGTGCTCGTGCGTTGCTACGGAACAGTTAAACTTTGTACTAAAAACACACGGATCGCACGATAAGATAATAATACTATGAACATTTAACCAAAAGCAAAGTTTGTAAAATTAACACAGTCACGGAGAGCACACCGTCGTGGGCTCATAAACTCTAACTTTTTTTCCTGATGCGGCTAAGATAATATTTTACATCGACAGAAAGAAATCCCACGGATATTTAATTTCATAGTACATGATGGTATAGAGATGTGGCGGAATGTATTTATTGGTGCACGAAAAAAATAGATATCGAAGATTTCTTTCTACCGATATAAAACACATTATCTTAGTCACATCAGCGAAAACGTTTACACAGTAAAGTTTGTGAGCCTGTGACGCCGCACTCTCCATGACTGTGTTAATTTCACGAACTTCATTTTTTTAATTAAATATCACTTTAAGTTCACTTTTTGATTAAATGTCACTTTAACGTCATTTAATTTTACAGTATTATTATCTTATCATGTGATCCATATGTTTTTAATACAAAAGTTAATGCTCGTGCTTTGCAAGTAAAAAAAATAAAGTCAAGACAATTGAAGGTTGTACGTGTATTTTACCATGACAAAAAAATGACATTCTGGAATTCGAGATAGCAATACTGTTGGACCATATTCTCCCCCCCCCCCAAAAAAAATTCAAACCAAGCATCATGACTCTTATGTTGCTCTAAGCCAGTGTATTTGTGATATCTGATATCCCAAACTCAGTAACACATATGCCTTCTATCTTGATTTGCTCAAGTGAAGTCTGTTGGGACAAATATACAAAATATCAAAACATCCAAACTCAGAAATTCCTATAGCGTCCTGAATTGCTCAAGTGAAGCCTGTTCGCGGCTATGGCTAGGGAGCGGCGAAAGCAATTCCACAATGGGCATGTGTGTGTGAGATTACCAGTGTCTTGACCTCCTGGTGCTTGTCCAGCAACCAGCAGTATTCTACAGCCGCAGCCTATGTCGCAATGTTCTATGGTTCATCAAAACTGCCTAGGGCTAAGCAAATCTGGAAAAGCGATGTCCTCCCATGAGTCCAAATTTTTTTTAGCTGGTGATGCATGGACGTTGTTGGACTACTGCTAGGAGACATTGTCATGGGTTGCAGAGCTCTGATGAGTGCATCATCTGTGACCAGGCGCCGAAAACTATGGATCACCTTCTGCTGGTAGTGTTTACAGTAGAGAAATTTGGGCAACAATCATAAGAAAGCAAACATTGTATCTTCCCCTTCTCTGGTAAGAAGAAAAACGAACATGAAACATAAACTTTGCAGACACATACTGAAGACAGACAAATTCAGATCAGCTGTAGACAAAGCAAGTATACTGACCATCATTTATATGATGTGTATTGTGGTGCTTGTGCAGCCATGATAGCAACAGATAGGGTATAGTGGAAAATTTGCTCAGGTACCAGTCCACACATGCTCCTCGGCTCCTGAGATAGCCATCAAAGTGCACAGACCCTTCCAGGATGGCCTTGTCAAGTGTGGGGGATGGTGTCCTCCAGCACCAAATATGGTGTCGTGTACATGTCAGTTGAACCCTGCATTTTACGACAACTTAATTGAGAATTGCCACCATGCTTAAGCTAAACTATTGAATGACAAAGAATCCGATCTAAAATGTACCCCTAGCGCTCACCAATAAATAATCCACCAAGAAGCAATTTACTATCTAGAATGACAAGGTTCGTAGCGTGGTGCCAATTCATATTTACATCTTCATCAATAAATAAATTGGAGCAATAAACAGTGCTGACATATTTACATCTTTATCAGCACCATGCTTAATTAGTGTTTGGTGTCTGATTGGGGTCTTCTTGCATTGTCACACCATGCTGACCAGAAGCTTTTTGTTCGATTTCCTTCACATATACTACAATCATTAAACATGTCAAAATGGAGCTTGCTAACAATATAATAAAATGCAAACATAAAACATCTTAAGCATCTCAATGTGAGCACTGAAATGATAATGTAATCACAAATATCGATATTTTTGACAACAGTAGAGAAAACAACAAGAGTTGAAGGATATTCATCAACTTCCAAAAGTCACCTATGTGGATCTAGGAGACAACAATATCAAAGACATTGATCTAGAGTAGGGTTCCAACCATGGTACAAAATAGTATTGCAAAACAAAAAAAAGAACATTATCGGACACCTTGAACTATTAGTTTGCCCTGAACACTTATTAATTTATTTTTTATATCAATTTCCCATGTTACGAGAGTGGTTACCTCACGGGAATCGATTGCATGCTCCCAATGATACACTGGCCAATATACGTTCCTGGGATACAAATATTCAGAAAATGTAATTGAAATATGGAAAGTTTACTGGATTTAGTTAGGGTTCACTTGCCTTCATGAACATAAGTTTTGCATATGTGAGATTGACAACGACTTAAAACGCTAGGTTAATTGGAAGTGTCAGAGTGTTGTAGGCAAGACCTACACTGCATCACTGACAATAGGAAAAGATATCACTGTTGGGTCCCAAATAGTCTATGCTAATATTTAAAAATCTGTTATTGGAAATTGCAAGAACAAAATAGGCTATATCAGCAAGGAAGCCAATACTGAAACCCTATAGTGCAATGCTGCCTCAAAGTTTGACTATGAAATTTATTTGCAGACTGGAATGCAAGGCATCACCTGTAATAAGGAGAGTTCAGAGGTTTTAACAGAATCATTATGTCACAGGGAACAAAAACAGAACATTTCTTTATTTTAAAGAGGACAATCTGAACTTCCAAATATTGTATGTGTTTAAATCAGTCTTGAGTGTGATCTTGCAATGTTCCTGCAACCCAATTGCATCATAGAAACCTACTGCCAAAGCTTGAATAATTGAAATCATGTTGGTTTCAGTATTTGGGTGAGGAATAGCTTTATATTATATTATATTATAATCATGCATATTTTAATGAGTTCATTGCTGGAGAACATGGGAGGAAAAAAAGGAATTATATATACAGGGAACTCAAAATAATTTATCGGCTCAGTATTCATCTCATTGGTTGCGAATTTAATAGATAGTTTGACAACATGAGAAAATGAGGACTCGATCGTTACCTGCAGTTGCACAGGTGGTCGCGCGGCAAGCTCCCTGTGGGAGCATGTGACATCGAAAGCCTTGACGTCGCTGCCAGTTCCGGCCTTTGCTCGCCGTAGTTACTCCCGGCGCCGGTGGCAGCCTACGTATACGCGTCCGCGCCGAGGCTGGGCACGGGTCGCCGCGCTCGCGCCGTGGCAGAATCAAGGGCCAGGGTCGTTTGGTGCCCGTGCCCACGCCGCCGCCCAACCATTGCCAGGCGCCCGCGTCGTGGTCTCCCGCCAAGCGATGGCTTCGACAACTAATAAATGAATGAGTGGAGGAAAGATTTGGATTAGATTGAAAACCGAATTAAACCTTAGAATAAGAAAATTATTTAACTATCCTGAGTTTAGTTATCCTGTAGCAATGTCTAGGCACGCTACCTAGTTGATGTATCAACTTAATGGCTAGACAACTACTTGTTCATACAGCACACTCATTTAACCATCCTGAGTTCTATCACCTTCATAATCTTCTCAAAATTGTAAATAAGTCAAATGGCATAAACCTGGAAATCTACCATCCCTAACCCAAACCTAGAAAATGAGGACTGGTCGATGCGAGTATCTACCCTAGACAAGGAAATGTGTTTCTAGCCTGCTAACATCCAAAGCATCCATGGTGCTGGAGCGAATGATCCCTCCAGCAGCACGCATTTATTATACCCATCACGGTGCTCGACGTCAATGCAACACGTCTGACGCTTCATGAGCCTCAAGCATGCAGGCAAGCAAATGAAGGGCAGAAATGGGATGATGATGATTAGTAATTACGTGGAGGCAGTCGAGCGCGGGCTCGACGAGCTTGACGTGCTTGGTCTCGACGGCGAGGCGGAGTGGCTGCAGCACCAGCTCGTCCTGCGGCCCGTCGAGCACGCGCCCAGCCGACGCGAGCGCCTCCGTGATGACCGCGCCCTCTGCCTTAGCCCCCTTGATGCTTTCTACAACGACATGAGCCCCACGCAGAGACCACCACAGCTCCATCATCAGCCATCACGAGATCCCAATGCGCGGGAGGAGAGGGAGGAAAGGGGCCGCACACACGCACCGAGGTATGACCGGATGGATTGCTGCAGCGTGGCGAACTTGCCGCGGTTGGCGGCGCAGTCCTTGAGCATGGCCTCGAAGGCCCGCGTGATGAACACGCCCGCGGCGCCCGCCATGGCCGTGGATCTCAGCTCCGGCCGTGGAGACGGGAGGGGGGCGGAGTGGTTAGATCCGAGGAGGGGGAGGGGGCATGGGATGGAGAGGGCGCAAGATTTGAAGGAGGAGGAGACCGAGAGCCGGCCCGCTGAAGGGAGCAGGGCCACGGATCGCACGAGGAAGGGAGCTGGCGCCGCGATCAACGTGGTGCCCCGCGGTGTTGTTTCCTTCTCGGAGGATCCGCGATCAACGCGCGGAGATAAGGGCCCACCCGGCGGCGCGACTTCCCCTCGTGGGAATGTCGTAAAAAAAAATATTCTTTTTAGTTGGAGGAGATTTTTAGTTATAGAAGATTTTGGTCCAACTTATCTATTGCGGTAAAATCGTGTTACCGCGTCAAAAGGATTAGTGCAGTACTGTCATGCTCGACATCAATTTCCACGTAAAAAGAATATAGTTTTGCCGCACCACTCGGTCTGACATGGCGAGGCTCTACCATACAAAAAAAAAATTGTATCTTTTCCATACGACCTCGGAAGAAGATGATTTCTATAAAAAAAAGTTTAGAGTTTAGAGTTCTTTATTTGAGATCAAACCTAATAGAAAATTTTCAACAGCATATTAATCATGTACCAGGACTTGTCACCTCACAAAATCATCTTTCTTGTACGGCGTCGTGTAAAGATAATTATTATACAAAAACTATAGTTTTCGATGAGATATATAAATTTTTAATTTTAAATTATTTTTAAATTAAGCTTTAAAACAAATTAAAAAATAAAAAATCACACATATTTCGTGATCAATGTCTTAAAACACACTTTTAGCCCGTATGTTGTTATTATGGCATATACGTTTTGAACAAAAAAATAGTATATATAGAATGTCTGTCATTAATGAATACAATACTCATATGCTACGAACAAGATATATAAGACATATATAAATTTGTATACTCCCCTTGTCTCAAATAACTTCGCATCTCACATTTTGAATATTCAATTTTTTAAAATTTGATCAAATATGTATAAATATACACTAATATTTGTAATGTGTAATAAGTCTCTAAACTTTTGTAATATACGTATTAAGAGATATGAATGTTGATAATATTTTTATAAATATGATTAAATGTAAAAAAATGATTTCTTAGAAAACAAGATGTGCAGTTGTTGGGACTGAGGAGTACATAATTATACAATAGTTATTAAACTCAACATCTGTAAGAGAACATTACATTTGGTGAATTGGTACATATCAAAACTTGAAAAGGAAACTCAAGATTCTTTGATTGCAAATATTGACAGCAGATGATTAGTTGCAGCTCCGAAAAAGCTCAAATTCATTCAGCAACCGGTGTCCCATAACTTGCATCGTTGGCGTATTATACACTTTCAGAACACAAGCTCCAAACAAAACCAAGCCCCCATTTTATCAAAAAAAAAGAAAAAAAAACAATCTGGCTTAAAAACAAAAAAAAAAACACTTTTTTTCTCAATATAAACCATGTACAACCAAAAACACATGTATAGCACTACGCCACTACCCAGTACCCACCGGTGCAGCAAATACATGAGCGAGAGGGAGCAGAAATGCAGAATGACAGTTGACAGGCTTGGCGGAGTCGTCTCTCATTTCTGAAGTGGGTTGGAGCATGCAGGGCATCCAGGGCGTGTTTGCTTCGCAGTCTCCCAGACGAGCAGCCACGTCTCGGAGCAGCGCTCGCGCAAGGCAGCTCCGCTTGGGTGCAAAGCAAACAGCCCCTCAGCAACTGACAACTGCGGACCTATAGAACAAATCATTGCCAGGTTCAGGCGTTTAGCTTGTCACAGCCTAAATCCAACCACATGTTACATGTGGCTTTAAGTAACATTAACGTTCAAGAACTAGCTCAACAATATTATGCTACTTTGTAAAAAAAAAAATTCTGCTAGATATGCCTTTGCTCTATAATTTGATTTGATATACCAGTTTGCTCACAAAGACAGCAATCTAAAAGGCTATTCTAATCAAAATCACATGGATAGGTTAAGGTGAAATACTGTATAAACAGGAATAGTTGCATTTTCTGTTGTCTGGAGTCTGGACAGAATGGCAGGTAGTTAACAAAAGATGACAGAGATGGTAGGCAACCAATCATTTGAGTTCAGCAGGAAGTAATTTAGCGTGCCTGTTTGACCTTCTATTAACAATGGAAAAATCAGACTTGACAAACTCGGTACATCCAGAACAAATTAATTGATGGTACTTGAATAAAATTGACTTTGGAAAAGAAAATGTACTGACATTTGTCTAGCAAGAAATTGCCTCAGCACATGGGGTCTTCATCTTCCACCTCTGTGCAAATAGGATCCAACCACTCTAGCCTATTGCAAAGGAGAACTACAGTAATTCACCGAAATGTTTCTACAAGACATATTGCAGTAGGCCTTCCCTATGTAGCAGTGCTTTGCATATCATCTTCCCACTGTCATGAACCCATGACAGATATAGCAACATATGACTTATCAGATAACAAAAGCAATGTGCCAGACTACTTTAAGTAAAGAAAGGTTCATTGGCAGAATCATCCAGCCTTGCCTCATCGAATAATACTCTGCAGATGAATTCACTTGTTTGCAGACCACTCTCGCCTTTGCATCCATTCGCTTGTTTGCAGATGGACACACTTGGTAGGAAAATGCCTCAGCACGTGGATTTTCATCTTTCACTGCTGTGCAAATAGGGACCAACCAACCACGCTCAATGTGAGGGTAAGTTCAATAAAACACCAAAATGTTGGTACAGGACAGGATCCAGTAGATCTTTTCCCTCTCTATCAGTCTTTCTTTGCCTACCACTTTGCCACTTCCACAAGATAACTATAGTAACCTATTCCCTGGCAGATAACAGAAACAATGTGCCTGGCTACTTTAAGTAAAAGGGTCATCAGTAGAACTATGCAATCTTGCCTTAGCATCGAATAGTACTCTACAGATGGATTCACTTGTTTGCAAACCAGCATGCTCCATATCACCAATCAAAGCCTCAGCTTCCTGGCACTTCCCTTCATTGCAGAGAAGACGGATCGTTAGGCAATAGCTAGCAACATTCGGAATCAATCCACCCTTCCTCATTTCCATGATCAATCTCAAAGCCTTATATGAGCTCCCTTCCCGCCCATATCCGTAGATCATCATGTCATATAACACACTATTCGGTTTGACACCTTTCGAATCCATTGACTGAAACAGTTTCCTGGCATGCATCATCTTCCCTTCCATGCAGAGCGCATGCAGGAGAACACCATAACTCTGCACATCCACTTCCAACCCAGCCTTCTCCATCTCTGAAAGCATCTCGAATGCCCTGTCCATTTCATTTTCCTTAGCAAATGCACCAATGAGTATGGTGTACGTCACTTTTGTGGGTGCCAAACCGCGCTCCCTCATGTCTGAGAAAGCCCTGATTGCCCGGGCTATATCTCTAACACGACAGAATCCACCAATAAGCTCATTGTATGTCACCACACTAGGTTGCAGACCTGCTGCCTTCATCTGATTGAAGAAATGTAAGGCATTAGACATCTTCCCAGCCTTGCCATAGCCATCAATTAGAAGATTGAACGTCACCATGCTTCGACGGATACCCTCCCTTCTCATCGCTTCAAACAGTTGGGCGGCATCTTTCAGCTTGCCGTGCCTGCATAGGCCTGCAATCAGGATGTTGTAGCTGACAACATTACGCACGACACCCTTCACAGGCATTTCGTCGAATAGTAGTCGGGCGCTCTTGAACTCCCCTGTCCTGCACCATTCCCCGATCAAGCAGTTGTAGGTGTAGAGGTTCGGCTCGACTCCACCTCTCCTCATCTCCTCAAACAAGGACAAACCCATCTCTCTGTGTCCGCGGACGAAGTAGCCGTGGATCAACGCTGTGTACGTGACCTCGTTAGGGGGCACGCCCAAGCGCGGCATTACGTCGAACACTCTGCGTGCCTCCGCGACGTCGCCGCTCTGGCAGCAGCCGTGGACCAGCGCGGTGCACGCGGCCACGTCCAGCTCCGCGTCGCCGGACTTCGTCCCGCGGGCGAGCACCGCCAGAGCAGACCGCACCTCGGCGGTCGCGCAGAGCCAACGCACAGCCGCGGCCGTGGTCGCCGCCATCGGAGCTCGCGTGAAACCCTCTGGCTTGTGTTACGTTGAGGAGTCAGAGCGTGAAACCCTCAGTCTCAATCAACTCTCAAGGTTTTTGTGTTACGTTCACCGGCCACGGCTGGACCTGGGAAACAAATTCCACAGAACGGTTGTCGGCAGACTACTCGATCACCTTTGGCCGAACAGGCGAACAGGGTTTTTTTTTACAACAATAACTTTTAGAGAAATACTTAAGCACAGTTGTCTGATAATCCGTCAGTCGACGGGCTCACGAGAAGATGAACCGTTGACTAATTAACTCCGACGCTGTGCCCAGCCAGGCACCGGCCGGCCGGCGATCTCTCCCAGCCAGCCAGGCACCACGTTCCGGTCCACTGACGCCGCTAGATAGCTCAGGGGCGCTTGCACATCGGGGGTTCGTGTGCGGTACAGTCCAGGGCGCACAGGTAGGTAGGTATAGCCAGGTCAAGCAAGCAAGGAAGGGCCGGCGGCCCGGCGCGCGGGTCAGCAAGCGATGCTTTTACGGCTGCAGTTGCACACTTACACGACGAGGCAAGACGGCACCAAGGGCTGGCTAGCTCGGGGCACTCGGAGGAGCAAGAGGTTGAGAATGACCGAAGCTTATACAAAACCTTAGGCAACTGCCGTAGAGACACACCCTAACTTTTAAATTTTAATATATAATGTTAAAGCACGGTACACCAGTATGGAAACAAAATTCTTATATTATAGATTACAAACAAATAAAAGCTACTGCTGATCAGCTTTTGTAGATATAGGTGATGTTTTTATCGGGAGCGTGGATCCGTCGAGGCCACCGGACCCATGAGAAGTGGCCACTGTAGAAGCATCGAGAGCCTTTGTTCTCGCAATAGTAGTCGGCGTTTCTCTCGACTGTATGACCGGCCCGTGTTTTCGAGGATAGAGAGTCTTAAGCCGTAGATAGGATTAAGGCTTCGTCATAGTCAGAAAATTAGACAGCCACCAATATCAAATCTAAAGACCTGCTTTATCTGACGTTGACCATCAACCCGAAGACGAACGGTAGAATAGCATGAGAACAGCAACCTGCTCTGTATACGTCATTTAGCTGCCCCACCGTGAACGGAGTTGATGTTGACGTGGCCAGCGCGTGTCCACGTGAAGGAGCAGGTAGGGGCACCAAATCCTCTTGCATGGAGACCACGTTGCACCCGTGGGGCCCATTGTGCAGTTGTTGGGCCGCACAGCACGGTAGGAGGGCCCAGCACGAGGTGAGAAGGACATCGCAACTTCCTGCATGTGTCACACGTAGCTTAGGCGTCTCCTCTGCACAGCGCCAGGGCCCCACAACACAACAATCCGGCCCCACCACGAAGCACTGGCGCTCCGACGAGCGAGACAGCGGCCGCGGCCGCGTATCGGCGTGGTGGCTCGGCCTCGCAGCCCAGGAGCGAGCACCGCAGGCACCACTCGCGGCACCGGCGCAGCTCCTTCCGGACCCGGCGTGCCCCTGGAGCGGCCACCGCAGCCCGCACGCTCGGCCCTGGCGCGGCTCGTCGCAGCCCCGGCTCGGCCCCGGAGCGGCCGCCTCAGGGACCACGCGCGGCAGGCGCGAATCATCCCGGCCCCTGAGTGGCCACCGCATCCACCAATCTCGGCCACGGCGCGGGTCCTCCCGGTCCCGGCGCGGCCCCAGAGCGGTCACCGCAGGCACCACGGCACTGAGCCGCAGCACAGCGCGGCGGGTGGCGACGTCTAGCCAGGCATACTCGCATCGCGAGAGCTCCGCGAGCACCGGCACGGCCACGAGGTCGTCGATGTAGGTGATCTTGACGTCACTGTTGTTGGAGTTGTTGCTGAGCAACTTCTGCCTTGACGCTGAATGGATGGGGGCGGCACCGTGCAGCCCACACGGCCATGGAGAAGACAAGGAAGAAGCATTGGAGAAGAAGGGGGCTTTATTGTAGGACTCACTTCGTCATTTTGGAGGAAGCTCCCTCCGGCCACCATGGCCGCAAGAAGCCTGCCCACCTCCAAGAAAACGATGGTGAGGAGGACTGAAGTCCTCAAAAAATCAATCTAGGGACTTATTCCACTAAGGAAACTCTACTGAAAGGGAGAGGGGGCCGGCCCACATACCCTCGACGCCGGCGAGCTCGCCGGAGAAGAAGGGTAGGGGGCCGGTGCTGGAAGCCACTCGGGCTCTCGCTCACACAGAGGTTCACTCGGCCGACGAGAGCGTTCGCAACAGAGATAGGCGAACAGGATTGAGCTTGTGACGGAAGCCGGCAAGCCTAATAACTTTGGTAACTTTTCTTTTTTGTCTTTCCATATGCACTCTACTCTAATCTAATTTATATACAACAAACAGTGTTAAAATAACTCATCATGTTCTTTGGGATGATATAAAAAATATGAGATTAATTGGAAATAGAAAATAGCATACACCATTGGATAAATAAGGGCCTCTTTGGCACGGCTTATGCCGGCTTCGGCTTCATCTATTTTGCGCAAATCGAGGCACTGTAGTGTGAAGCTGTTTTGTAAGCCGGGGTTAAAATGAACTAGAAGCCAGGAAAAGCCAGTTTTTCTGGCTTCACCGGCTTTGGCTTCACCGGTGAAACCGTTTTGGATGAGCCGTGCCAAAGGGGGCTTAACTCATCATGTTCTTTGGGATGATATAAAAAATATGAGATTAATTGGAAATAGAAAATAGCATACACCATTGGATTTATAATAATCTACCAGATTAAATAAATCAAAGAATCCAAGCCCAATACAATTAATACAAAATAATATTGAAACCATAAATAAGACAAAATAGCGGTTTGATTTATGTCCGATTTTGGAATAAAAATATATCTAAATAAATAAAGAGTCCATGTAAAACACATTTATGAAATTTGAATAAAAGATTATGAAAAATTAATAGTTTGATCTCTAAATTAATTGGAAAAACAAATATCTAAATTAATAGTTAATATAAATTATAATTAGAATATATATAATATCGAAAACTAAAAAATTAGTAGTTTGCTTTCCATATGTTGGAAACATAAATAAAAAAATCATCGTGTAGATATAAGTTTTTTTTAGAATTTTGCTATAAGTTAAAAAATTATCTTTGTCAACCTCGAGTGTTATAAACTGCCACATTGATCGTATAGGTCAATGTTGTAATGGTCTAGATCTATTAAAGATGTATATTAAAAAAGGACCCAATTATGGAACGAGAAGATGGTATAGAATTCACGTTGATTTTTCCATGTAAATAAAGGATAAGGAAACTACAAGCAACGCATGCATAAGAGTTATCCAAGCTAGCCACCAATATCTTTGGCATGCTCATAAAAAAATCATTCAAGCACTTCAAATTCATACACCGCTCCCTTCCTCGTCATGTTGTAAGCCCCGCCATCTCAAATTGTTCTTTCGTCATAGCCTTAAGATCATTGGTAAACTCCTTTCATCATGTGTTAATGCTCGGAAAGTTTTAGCGTCACCACCATTATTGACGAAGAGGGACAATTGAATAGAATGAGTAGATTACAACGATCATGGATCAAAATTGACATATTTCATGGTGATGTCCAATGAGAGGAAGTCAAATTCAGCTGGCTGTCGATGTTTGATCACCGATAGCCTGCCACGGGGTCCCCGGGGCAGTATGTTCGGGCTTCAGCGTATGCAGAACTCGACGGTGAACGCAAGAGACAGTCGATTTATCCTGGTTCAGGCCCTCGATCGTGGTCGAGTAATAGCCCTACGTCCAGTCGGCGTTAGCCTTGCGTTGGATTGATTGTGTGTTGTTGCGTTCTATCGTCCTCCCATCTCTAGGAACCCCGCCCTCCTTTATATAGTCAAGAGATCAGAGTCCTAGTCGGTTTACAATGAGAGTTTCTAGTAGGATTATAGACTACTACTAGGATTACATGGGAAGAATCCTAGTTGGACTAGATCTTCTCCCTTTCTGGCGGGGTATCCTGTGGGTTCCACATCGATAAGCCCCCGAGCACTTCATGGTTGAGTTCTGGAAGCCTTGTCATGGTTGAGTTCTGGAAGCCTTGTCTTGTTCCTTCATGTCTTGCCGAGTAGAAACAAGCGTCGTTCGAGTGCTTTCTTGAGCGAAACCGTGTAGCGCTTCGTAAGATCTTTGGTTGGTGTGTACCTTTTTAAAGAAAAAAAAGTATTCCCATTTGGGTGTAGCCCCCGAGCCTCTTGCTTTTTGGCACAAGGAGCTGGAGGGTCTTCTCTTGAAATCACTCTGATTCTTCGTCGAAGGGTTCCTGAGCATATACCCGGGTTCTTTATCAAAAAAGAGCTCGGGTATAGCTAGGTCCGGGTTCTTTTTGTCTTGATGTCTTGAAGTGATCTATCTTGAAGAAGTCTTCTTAGTGATGTGCGTTTTTTGGAGAAAAAATGCACTCACTGAGTGTAGCCCCCGAGCCTCTTGCTATTTGGAACAAAAAGTTAGAGGGTCTTGAATCTTATGTTGTTTTGGAACTCTTGTCTTGAAGAAACTCACTGAGTGTAGCCCCCGAGCCTCTTGCTATTTGGAACAAATAGTTGGAGGGTCCTGAATCTGAGTTGTTCAAAGAACTGAAAACTTTCCCTGATGCAGCCCCCGAGCATTCTTCAAAAAGAACTTGGATACAGAATCTTGGCATATCCTCTGGTAGTCTACTGTTGTCAGGTGTAGAGTCTGCAACTTTTAGATGTAGAGTCTGTTGTTTTTAGAGGTAGAGTCTGCTGTTGTCAGGTGTAGTTGTATGGTGATGGTTGAGTGTAAATGTCTTTTGTTCACGGGTTGTACAGTGTTGGTATATTCTCCCGAATATGCTTGTTGTTGAGTACTGTTCCTTCACGCCTGAGTTCTCTTTCATTGAATTCTGTCTTTTCACCGTGTCCTTTGTTAGGTTTGTTCCGCTGGTGCTCCCGGTCCATGTGCACCGCTTCTTTGGTTTATAAATATCCTCCTTGTGTGCTGCTTTGATTCATCGAGCACTTTGTTGTGTGGTTTGAAATCC